TGCTAAGTTGTGTAACCTACTTAGTATTTAAGATACTGCATAACCTAAGATGGCGGGCCAGTGGCATAACCACTGGAAAGCAGATAATTGCGCCCCCTGCTGTCTGTCCTGGCTTTTTCATCTTTAATTATCACCCAGGAGACCACAAGGATTTTTTTCTCTCACTGACAAGCTGTCTGAGAAAGAGAACAAACCAACCAAGCAGATCTTTCATATGATCTACTCCTAAAATAGTCCACGTTCAGCTTAACAAGTTGTAACAGGGACGGAACTATTATTCTCTGCTCCACCGTGATATGTTTAAGGCTACAAACTTGTTCACATGACCCACGTGGTGATTAAGACCCTAACCAACATGATTTTCAGGCTTTTTTTTTTTTAAATGCCTTTTCCCTCACTCTCAGAATTCAATCTACAGCACCAAGTGGGTGTTGTGCTATGTTTGGAGGTGTGCAGATTATTGATTGTTCACCCACAGTCATTAAAGAGACAGGAGAACGTGGCCGTGGCAGCTCTGGGACTGAGTAGGAGAAAAGAGAATAGGTCCATATAAAACCCATAGAGGATATTTATGAGAGCGCGGTGGAGGAGGAATGTCAGCGTGAGAAGGAAGTGCTCTGCACTCTGGCTTTGCAAAACCACTGAAAGCAGCTCTACAGCTGGTGACACTCGTGTGTGCGTGTGTGTTGACATGTGTGCATGGCAGTGAGAATGAGTGACTTGAGTGGGATCTGCATACTAAAGTATGGGTTGTGTTTTTCCTGTGTGAGAATGCATGTACAGTTTGAGTTTGTGCAGAGTGCTGTATGGCTCAGATGTGTGTAGGTGGGCTGAGTGGGAGCACTGGGAGACTGAAGATGCTCTAGCCTGTTTCTCATAAAGCAAACAAGACTGCCTGGGCAAAAATTGTGTTGTTCTTTTGTGATTTAAACAGCCTTATTGCAATAAAGGTAGACCATGTATTGCAAAATATCCGACAGGTACACACATCACTCAGTGCTGTAGGTGTTTATGATGTTGGTAGGATGAACACATCTTATAACTGAATGAATCCAGGGTCTGCAACTGCGTACAATGTACTCATTTAAATGGCCTATTTTAGCTATTATTATCAGTAAAAAGTCAATTAATTTGTCTTGTGTAACTTGTAAATATAAGAAATGCACAGTTATATGTGATGAATTATTCATAGGATTCCTTGTGCAAGAGAGCCACACGGGAAACAAAACATTGTTGAAGCTTCATGGAAACTGCTCTCTCCAATTAGCAACCCTGCTTATGTTGCAGAGACAAAGGGAAAATGAGCAGCTTTGGCTGCTGTAATGTTGTGTAATATACAAACATCTCACCTTTACCATTCAGTTGAAGAATAGAGATGGATGTGACAGATGACATAAAAGGTACTGTTTGAAACAAACAGATACTTGAACTTGAATTAATGAAGTTTAAAGCAGACATTTCACCATATATTTAAGGTGGATTTATTAGTGTAATGCCATGTCTCTACAGCAAAGTTCAGCAATGTACTATTTAATCAGTTTTAAAGCATGATGGCTCTGCAATCTTTAACAATGAAATTTCACACACCTGATTTAACAAGTCAAACAAGTCGAACCCACCAACACAACAACAGAGCATATTGAACCAGTGTCTCATAAGGTAAAGCTGTACCAAATGCATCTGGAAAAAAAGTGTAATTACTGCATGCTTACTGTTCTGGAAGATCAGATTTATAGAAAATGCTTGAAAAGGTGAAAAGAGAACTTACTTATCATGTGATCAAAAAGATAATCAAGGCAATTGCAATCTGAATTGAGTAACTTAGAATAAATAGAACATACATAGCTACTTCTCTTTTGATGTTTTTGATGTTTTAATCATTTTTGTAAGCAAGTCAAATAGGTAAATAATAGTAAAGATACAAGCACACAAGAAAACAACGCAAAATAACAAATAACTTAAGCCACTAATTACGCAAAGTCTAACGCTGATGCATACAAGGTTTATACACAGATGGTATGAACTGATCCATCCAAAATAAGCCCTGTTTAGCATTTAGAGGACATTCATTTTCACATTCACAGATCATCATCTAAAAACTAGCACACTACCAGAAGTTTCACAAGTACATGCAGTGAGTTGCAAATTCTGGGTCAAAGACATCCGTACTGCTGGAGAAGCAGAGAAGGAGTGTTAAAGTTCACAAAAATTCACATAACACACCCTCAAAACTGTCGCTTCATTTTCTACTGCTAATTTGTGTGGAAAAAGAAAATGACTCCTGGGGTAAAAAGGTGTGCCTGAAAGCCAGCCCAGCCGGCTTATGCCAGCCATCTCTCGCTACCTCACTTCCCCTCTTTCTCTTCATCCAGGTCAGGACAGGGGCGTCACTGCTCTGGCACAGATGTGTCGTCTCTCTCTACTGCCCCCGATCCTCCTGTCTCTAAAAACAGAAATAGACAAGGCGTAGTTAAGGACTGCGCAGCCTGGAAAGAACAGTTTCTGTATACACTCTTGTCGTCAAGGTGAAAGGCTCGAATGCACAGTCACAAACTCGAAGGTTAGTTGTGGGTGGATCTATTATAAAAACACATTTGCAGGAAACTTGATATTGAGTTGCTACTTAAGGAGATTTTCAAAGGAGGTGAAGTTTTCCATTATGCAAATATCTGTTTGCAGAACTTTCTTTCTTTCTAAGTACTTTGCAATGCCGAGAACTTGGATGACATAACTGATGAGCTCAAAAACCCAATTCTGTTGTGAAAAGGGGGTCTCCCCCAATGGGAGGTGCTTGTAATGCTCTGTTCCAGCCCGACAGGTCCATTAATTTTGCTTGGCCCTCTGAAGCATATACTGTACCTAATGCACCTGGAGCTATAAATACATCTCCTACATAAGGATACAAGGCAGCCAGCAACTGGGTTAGGGAGGATCATTGATGAGGATCCCTCGTGTCAGCCACATCCCCAAATAAAATTCTGCTTTGTCTTATAGGAAAAGGTGAAATTAAATTTTGAGGGCTGGGAATCTGTTTGTGGGGATATTGGATGCAAATATGTTGAGTTTTAATTTAAATTTAAATTTTGAACTATGATGAGTTTCTTTTCTTTAAGCATTGTCCTTTTAAGAGATGTTTGATTTTTGCTTGTATAAGGATAAAATGTAATCTAAATGCAGCCTTTGCCAGCGTTCAAATGCCCTCAGGACAAAACAGCAAAACATTTTCTGACAAATAACTGAATTCTCAAACTATTTACACCTCCATGGCTTTATGAAATAAAAATAAGAAAACATGTTTACCATTGTGAGAATGGAATTTGACATTTTCCAGGTAAAATAAACTCTGGCAAAGATATTTTCTCTATATTGACTTAACGGCACATCTACAAGCAGATTCATTTATGATCCCTTTAACAGAAAAAAATACTGAAAGATTCAATCATCTGTTGCTGGAGGAACCTATGGGGTAATTAAATGTGCCACTCAGTTATGTATTGCATTAATCACACTTGGGATAACCCATAAGGGGCTCTAATAGGTTTATTTAATTATGTATAGCTTTTAAATGGTTTCTTGTTCTTGTGTGTAAAACCGTGAATCAGTTTGTGTTCCTGCATTAATGTTTGTCTCTGGATAAAGGTAACAGTAACAAAATTGTTCCTCTAACATCTTAAAATGGGACACCTCTAAAAGCAAAGACTTTTTAACTTGCTTAATGAACAACATGCAGAACATTCTTAACATACAACTAAGCGTATGCTTACTTATTGTATTAAGCCTAACATTTGCTTCCTTATACTATATAGGATCTTGAATTGCTTTAACTTTAAGTCTTATAAGACTGTCTTTATGGTCAAATAAGCAGCTTGTGCTCTCCATCACTTACCTTTAGTTACTTACTGTACTTACAGGTTCTGATGGGAGCCCCTGCTACCATCCTTACAGTCACTAGCCATAATGCCCTCTTTAACGGCATTATGTGACCTAGTCTTATGGTCCTACACCACTGACCTGTGTCCCCCTGGCTGCCGTTGAGCACATCCCCAGTGCTGCTCACCTCCTCCCCTTCTGCTTTGTCCTCCGGCTTCATCTTCTTACGGGTCATGTGGCCACGGAAGCCAGCCTGGATCTTGGCAGCAGCCCTGTTGGCCTCGGGGTCATCCAGTGGGATGTCCATGATGTCCTCCTCCTCCTGGGGCCGGCTGCAGTCCTCCTGCTGAGGGGACCAAAAAATTAGTAGTTTATCACAGAAGGGTAGCATATTAGATGATCGTACGAGGATGTTTTTTTTTCTGGAACATTGGAGAATCATATTTTGTTAACTGTATCTGCTGCAAAACTCTTTTGGACAGCGAGGGATGTGTGCTTGTTTCAGAGTGGCTCACCCTTATTACATGACTTCAATGGGGCTCTCAGGAGGTCAATAACCCACATTGCCTCCATTTTTCTCTTCTATTCTCCTCTTGTCATATACTGTATAATACACTGCTGGTAAAAACATGTCTGAGTCAGCCTAATTTATAATGAATTATCATTATCTGCTGTGTTTTTTGAAAAGCATTTTAAAAAGCCACAAAACTGCACATTTAGCAGATATATATTGCATGATCATTGATCATTACCCAAAATACATTATTGGTTTTTTTTTGGTCAGAAACAAGATTGGTGTAAAAATATATTTGATAATAAAATTGTTTTATTATTTCAAATAAACTGGAGGTATGGTAAAAAAGTGTTAGGATTAACATTTCTTTTAAAGAGAAAAAAAGAAAAAATCTTGCTCTCCAACCTGAGCCGAAAAGAATGACCCAGCGAAAATGCTGCTGCAGTCAACACCAGCAACTAATTCAGTGACAAAAAGTACAGCGTCCACTGTCCCAAAGGAAACATGGGGTGGGCGGAAGAGATATTCTGGCTTGTCATAAAGTGTCAGTGGAATAGCGCCAAGGCTGTCAACGAGTTATGTAAACACCAATTCAAATTCTGTGGCAAACACATATCGGCTACACCCCGTGCTTTGCTTATGGATAACAGATTGACATTTCACACAAAGGCAGCCCACAGAATGAGCCCACTGTCATCCCACTACCTTGGTGAAGCAGTGCATCATGTCTCCAGTGAAACCCCTCCAGTGTAGGAGTGTGACCACCCACCTGTTCAGCCAGCATTCATTAGCCTCTCTGTCTGACTGCTCACTGAGCAGCCAGAATTCAGCTTTTTTGCAGCAGCAGAGATGCCTGACTGATGCACTGGATTTTGCTGCTTCACACCTTTTTCAGGAGTCTTATTGTTTTTTTTTTGCCTCAGGGTCCATAGACACAAATTGATTTGAAACATTCTGATGCAAATCCCATGTAACATTATCAGTTTATGATGAAATTAGCTTGAAAGGTGTGTGGAATTAGTTAAACTATATAATCCTAGGGGCTACCTGACTTTATGTGGTCAGTTTTCTGTGAAAAATGTACCATTTGTGAGTCATAATTATTCAAATGGTTAAGATAATATACTTTACTGTAGTAAAAGGACAAAAATCAAAAACACACACATGGCAGTTTGAGGGCAACCAAACACTAGTACACCATTAGTAACTAACAAACTGCATAACCCAAATAGAAGTGATTAAAAATAACAAAAAAATGACAACAATTAACTAATTAAAAAAGTTAATCTGAAGCTTCTACTTACATTGTGACAGTCCATGTCTTACTGAGAGATGACTTCAGTCTTCAGGTGAGCTGACCTAGTATGACTTATATACCTGGATTTCTATGTGGACCCAACAAACCCTCTCTTTAAATGAGTCTCCGGTATAATACAGATGCCTCACTGGCTCTCACTAACAATCACTGTATGTTCAGTAACACCCGCTCACGCACAGAGTGAGAGAGAGAGACATACAGTCAGAGAGAGAGGAAGGAAAAAAGAGGGAGGGAGGGAAAGAGAGACCTCCTACAAACATGACAGCATGTGTTCCATCTTTTCAGTCTCATTAAGGCTGCTGACCTACTGTGTTCACATTACTGTTACAGACCTGTAACAGACCTCAACATTCACCGTGCAAAGCCTGAAAAGTAACTGAAATAGGCTGAACGTGTAGACTGTGTGGTTTAAAGTTTGACACAAGTAAAAATAAGGAACTATACAGTCTGGATATGAATTAGGAAAACACGAATGAGACTACCACATGCACTGGGCATCATAAAAATGGAAAAAAAGTGCAGTGTTACTAATAAATAAACAATAAAACTCCCCACAAATAACAGATGACTAACATAGAAATACTATGTTAAAGCCAGATGGTCATAAAACAATTATTGCTGACTTTCAAGTTCTACTAATAGCGTGAAAATAAAACACTGTAAGCATCTTGGTCTGTTTTACACTAGGAGGTGTTATAAATTTATTAGAGGCAGAGTGAGCTAACAGCCCTCTCCATCCCTCTGATCCCAGCTGGTATGGCCGCCCACACTCCTCTGCCAGCCTCAGAGACAAGACGGAGAAGGAGAGAAACAGAAAGCGTCCATTTATCTGAGTTATATCTCTGACATTAACGCTCTCCTGCTGGTTTACTAACCAGCTATTCAAACAATATGTTACATTAGGCTTGCGCCTGATTTCACTACGCTGACTTGCTTTATTAATCATTTCAATTTGTTAATTTGTAGGAATAACCACTGTGTAATTAAATTAACTGTAATCAATCACGATATAATAACTCTGCTCATATTAGCCCAATCATTAGTGTATCAAAGACAGTGCTCGCTAAGATGATTGGAGTAGAGGATTATTATTATGCGCATTTGTAAGCAGTGAGTTAAAGGATGGAAAATGAAAAGAAAAAAACAGACAAGGCATCTGAGTTACTGCAGCTAGGTCACCGTTAGAATAGATGGCCTATATATTGTACAGTTTGTGGTAGTTTTGTTCCAGCTGAAATAAATTCTGCCACTAAGCAAGAGTATACAAAAGAGCTGTATGTACAAATACAGAAAGTGCTGTTTTACTGTTTAATCAGTCAGTTAGAAACTGCTATTAAAGGTAGATTACTGATACAGATGGTGCATAGCAACTATCAGCATCACCATCTCCTATTAATTCCATGACGACACTAAGAGAGTGCAGGATGGTGAGGGGTTACCATGGTAACATTCTTAGTACCCCCTTCCTACACTCCCTCCCTGTGCGTTTGGAGCCCTGTTGGTCCAGACAAATCAGACGGGGCTAACTGTGACAGCAGTGAAAATGGTAAAGGCCTAATTCACAAGACGAATTGTTCAGTCTGTCTTTTACGATGATAGATTACAGCATCAAGTTTCAATCTGTGGTGGCTGTGGTGGCTCCCAAGAGGAGAGCGGATCTGGCACTAACAAAGCCACAGTATTACAGTTTCATGAGCATGCGGCAGAGCTAAGTCCTCAAACGGCATCTTGAACATGCTCGTATATGAACAAAGACACAGATCAGGGTGAACTTCCAGAGTCAAACTACCATTTCTGCACATTTCAGTTGAGTCGATTATGACCCTCTCAATGACATTCAAAGTTTATCAGAGCAACCGTCATACGTCATCTCGGAAATGAACTATTTTGGAGATATTTTCAATCACCTACCCCTAGAGAGTCCAGGGGGAAAAAAATGAGGGCCACTGTTGATCAGATTTGTCCTTGAAAAGTTTATTTATATAGGCTACCTGAGACAGGAATGGGACCAGAGCAGACTGTAGCCGAGCTAAAGACACCTCTGTCTGAAACTGAACATCTATCCTGAGCCTGCTGATAAAAGTGGAGTAGATGTGGTGAGTTGAGACAGTCTCTATTATATTCTAAATAATACATGTCATGGTCCTAAATGTTACACTGTCTGGGCTATTTTCTCATTAAAAAGATCTCTAATGTTGAGGCGTGTGTGAAATTTGATGAATCACTGATATATTCTGTATTGAGAAGAAGCATCAAACTTTACCTTGTCACCACTGTCGCCTTCAGGCTCTGTGGTGTCCTTTTCAGACTCAAGTGGCCTTTCCTCCCCTTGGTGGTCAGCAGCTGGCTGATCTGCACTTTGAGTGGGACTGATGCTGCTCTCTTCACACATTGCATCACTCTTCTCTTGTATTTCAGAATCAATCTTTTCTTCTTCTACAAGTCCCCCTGCTTCTGATGTTCTCTCCTGTGATGTGTCCTCTTTTTCTACCACTGTATCCTCTGCCTGTGACTCCACAAGTGGTCTCTGACTCTCCTCGTTCTCCTCTGGTAGATGTTGCGCACTTGCCTCTAAAGTTTCACTCTCTGCCTCCGCTGCAGCAGTTGATATATTTGACTGGGTTACTTGTGATAAATGATTCTCAGCACCACCATCATTCATTTCTTGATCCTCCACCTCACGTATGTCCCCTTCGTCTCCTCCTACTGAGTTTGTTGTCCCCTCTTCTTTAAAGCCAGTGTCGTTCGACTTGCTCTGGTGAAATTCGCCTTCACTTATCTTCTTGTTATCTTCATTTTCATGATTGGTTTCATCCTCCGGGTTCTCTTCGTCTGCCTCGGTGCTGGGCTGATGTGATGAGCTGATGGTTTTAACACCTTCTCCAAGCTCATCATCCTCACTATCATTTAAATTAGAGTCATTTGTGTCCACCTTCTCATTCCTTATATCAGATGCTTCATGCTGACTTTCCATTTCTTCCCCTTCAGGGTTAACTTCCTCTTCAGCTCTGACCATTTCCGGCTCATTGTGGTCTTGTGAACCTGATATATTTTGGTGTGTTGCCAATGCTGTAACTTCCTTGGATTCCTCCTGCTGTTGCATTTCTAATATCTTAGTCTGCTCCACTGAATCCTCGTCCTCTGGCTGATTCTCCCCAACCTCTTTAATCTGCCGAGCCTCTGGAACATCTTCAAAGTTGACTTCAACCAATGAATCCTCATTTTGTATAACATTACTTTCTAAACCACCCTCTATATTAGTTAAACTTCTGTGCATTCTCCCAGAAGAAATCTCAGCCTCTGTTCCTTCCTGCTCATTTGTTTCTTCTGCCTGGTCTTCTGCTTCTTGTTGATTGTCCTCATGGGTTTCAGACTGAGGCAATGATGACTGTACAACAGTTTCCTCAGGTCGGGGTTGCAAGCTTTCCTCATCCATGACGTGTGTATCTTCAGCAGTGGCTCCTTCGATTGCTCTCTCTGTTCCTATAAGTTCTGTAGCACAAACATCCACATCAGCTAGCCCAGAATATGGAAAGACCTCCACTGGTTCAACTTCAGTTTTTTCCTCTCCCTCTGAGTTGACAATCTCTTCATCTACACCTGCAGTCTCTTGTTTATCACCTCCGTCATCTTCTACTGTTTCTAACTCCTGAGCGCACACATCTACATTCGAAACCCCTCTGACTGATGATAACAAGTCAGTGGGCTCTAATTCAGACTGAGGTATGTCTTGGTCTGAAACAGAGCTGCTATATTTTTCATTAGCTGCCCTGTCAGCTGGATCAAATGTAGTTATTGATGGGTCTGTCTCCTCTGTCGCATTCAGTTCATCTGGCTGTACAGACCGGTTGAGTGATTCCTCTTCTGAAAATCCCTTTTCTGTTGAAATAACTTGGTTTTCTGTAATATCATGTTTGTCTTCTTTTTCTCCTTCTTCTTCTCCTCCTGTGCTTTCAGTTAAATCAACCTCTTCAGAGACGTTGGGAAGATTTGAGGCGTCTACTGAATGACTGGATTCATCTTCAGTTTGGGACTCGTATGATTTTTCTCTAAAAAGTACATCAAAACGAAAGGTGAGAGATTATGACAATAATTTAAGTGATAATAGTGATTTAAGTGATTCTTCTTTAATACTATTGTTTTGATGTCATAATGTCATAATGCCTGTCTGCCCTTTCCTCTCACCTTTGACACTGCAAACCTGAAAGCGCTTTCAACACTGAGCTGACGTTCGGTGCTAGTTCCAGGCCTCCACAACGTATTTTTCCCTTATCTGTCCCTGTCTGAAAGGTTGACATAGGACTATTCTTATTGTAAAGCTTATTAAAATTCTTCTGTATTTGCTTTAAAATAAAATCTCATAATCTCTGATTATTTTCTAGCATTTAAAACCTTCCCTGAGGTTGGGTTAATGCATATATGTCCAAACCTCATTGCAGATGTATCTGTTGAGTCATGCTGCTATGATAATTGCAATTATCCGCTCAAGATTGTGTTTTTTTATTCTTTATAATTCTTTATATTTCTATTTCATTTTCATTACTGCCAAACAGGGAAAATAACAACCATGTCTACAGAATACCTCACAAAACTCAACACGTATACCTTTGTGTAATAAGCGTGAAAAATATAATATTTTATTCTCATTTCTTCCTCGCTTGTCCCTTGTTATTAATCTTTCCCTCGTGTCCATCCTCTCCCTCTCCTGCTGATCCTCCTGGTTTGCTGATAGCACATAAGTTGAAACTCACTTGGGAAGGGTCGCCTCCGATGCAGTTATTCTTTCAGGACTAGCCTGTTGGGGAAAAAGCAACAACAAGGGTGTAATGGTAAATAAACACAGACACATTGATAAATAGAGGAAAGGTATATTTATGGTAATAGATGCCTATACTGTAGGTTAGATTTAATACCTCAGTAGCCTTGAATGCATGGTTGTTGTAGAATCTATCCTGCAGTTTAGCAGCCCACTCTGCAGGGTCTGTGCCACTATCTACGAGCAAGCAATAAATACAATTATTTGACAGCAAACAATTTCACAATTGTGTCACGTTACTTTTGCCTGTAAAGTTGCACGTACCTTCTCTTTGTTTGAGAAGAGCATCGAAGTAATGTGCAGCATATGTAGGGATGTCTTCAGGCTGGTCTCGGAGGATCTCTCTGGTCAGACCCTCCAGGATGGCACCAAAACCTCGCGGGACCCGTAGGTGGGTGTTGGAAAAGGGCACTGACATTTTTTTTTTCTTTTTTAGGATACACTGCGGCCGTAAGTTCAGTGACAGCTAGAGATATTCAACCAGGAGAAGTCGACGTTTTTCTCAGTAGTTTACTTTCTTCTTGATGTGTAACGTAGAAGCTGAGAGAAGCTAACCTATAGCTAACACTGGGAACTTTACACAGAGTACGTTACCTTAACGTTTGTAGTTAACTATTATGATGTAGTCGCCACAAACCACTTAAATAGCTCAAGTATATGTTATAAATATTAAGAAAATATCAGAACATGAGCAATTAATTACATGTTACCTGACATAACTCGTATCCACCTTTGTTTTTTAAATGTTACAGCCAACAACTGTGTTTTTGTTGATAACTGTCTCTAGGCAACGGTTCAAACTACGGACACTGACGAGGCTCAAACATGAATGGCTTTATTTGTAATAAATGCGGGTTCATTATAAACACAGAGCACACGACAAAACAATATAATACGTAAATATAAAATAGCATCACTTTATAAAAAGACACATAACTTGTACTAGCATGTTATAACACCAGTGTTGGGCAGTAACTCATTACTAATAATAATATTACAGTAATAATATTACTTTTTTCCAATAACTTCTAGTGTAACTAATTACTAATAGGCTACATTTCAGTAATAATATTACCGTTACTCCTCCAAAAAATAATTAGTTACAATTTTTATTTTCTTGTTACCCTCTATTGATTTGAAATCCAACAATACAATCCCTTCATTGGATTTATTTTTGTAATCGTGGTGGAAACTAGTTTGGAAGATGGAAACATTCAGCAGCTGGAAATATTAAGTCGGAAATTTGGGGGAGAAAGGACACAACTACCAATTTTGTGGGGGAGTAGCAGAGAAGTAAACTAGTAGTGTAACTAATTACTGTTGGTGGGGAGTATTATGTAAAGTAATTACATTGATTACATGAGTAATGAGTAATATATTAAATTTTTGAGTTACTAGCCCAACACTGTATAACACTCACACACACAAAAAAAAAAACCAGAGTGTGTTCCTCTCTCCTCTCCTCTTCAAGTAAAAATGACCTCTGTCAGGCATATGTGATGACGGCATACTCAGAGTTGGTGCTCATCTTGCGGCTGACCTCTCTGGGATGGGGGACGTGCAGTCTGTCAGCTGAACGTGAGGCCTGGAGGTGAGACCTTGAATCGTCTCCCCACCACTGGAGGAGACGCAGAGAAAAAACTCAAGATCAGACACTAAAAGATTAAAACTGGTCGTGTTATGTGTTGTATTCTAAGTAACCACTTGTATTACTCCAAACCCTGTTTGTTTCTAGGTTTACATATTTACCTTGCAAGTCTACACATGTGTAAACCAACAGCAAAATCAATGACAATAATTAAGTAGGCCTAAGCTAACTTGTAAAAACAAGGTAAAAAATGTAAACAATATATCCCTTCAGTTGCCAGTTTATCACTGCAGTAGCATAAATATTTTTGAAGGTTATAACTGTTTTATAGAGGTATTGATTCAAGTTCATCGTCCTTTTGGAGGCTGTGGTTATGGCGCTGTATAATTTTATTGCTGAGAGATGTTTCTAATATTTACTCTATGATAGTTGTCATAAATATCTGATAAATGGCAACTGACGGTATTTTTACTTATACAATTCCATACTAACTGAATACATAATTTAATATGTAATATGTATAATGACTGATGCTCACAACTAGCTCCTTACTTCACATAAACCCTTAGCTGTCTGCATAGCTGCTCATTAATTTAAGCTTCTTGGTATTCATTGTGCCCCCTTTGTACACCAGTTGATATTGATCACCATAACATATATTTACTAGCTTTAGATTTACACACGTGATCTTCAGTTGCAAAGAGTTGCACATAGAGAAGAGGAGAATAAGCTGACAAACATGTTGCCTCTGAAGTCTCGTCCCTCACCTCTTTTTGATCTCCAGAAGTCAAGTAGCCGACCTGAGTGAGCTCTGGTGTACTGACGCCTCGGACGGTGATCATTATGTCAGCATATGGAACCTCAGTGTCACTCTCATTATCTGGGTTAAAGAAATGATTCAATATATCAGTAATTTTCAGTCTTCTGTCAAACATTGATGCAGCGTCACTTAGAAAACAAGTGTGGTGGGACTGCTAATCATCTTACCTGGTGTGGGAATCCTCAAAGTCACTCTGTCACTCTGTGTTGACAGTAGCCCTGGGGAATATGACAGGTATGAACGGCAGGGTTGCATTTGGGCGAAAATAGCATTGCACTTCATTTTATGATAATTTAAACTATTTACCCTTCACTGGTGAGAGAACAGCGTGAGGAGGTAGTGGTGAGCTGAAATGGTAATAGATAAAGAAATGAACGAAGAATTTAGCTAAATTATAGATTTTTTAAAGGTAATTGAACACAGATCTGCTGAAATGGTCATTCTTAAATAGTCCTCACCATGACCTGGACACAACTGGCTCCCCTGGAATATGACAATATTAACAGATTTAGAGGTATTGTAAAATTGTAAGTTTTAGTAAAAAGTGTATGTTCATGGTGTAATATTTTGTACTCACCTTTACAATTGCAGCTCTGTTTTCCCCGACTCAGACACAGATATACAGCCAATGCTGCAAGCACCGTGGCCACAGCAACGGTAACTGCTGCTAAAACCTTAATTCCAGTAAATTCTCCTGTTAACATGGAAACAGTATTGTCTTGGACTTTTAGTTCCACATATAGATATAAAATAAAATACATTCATACAGGATCAATGTAAATAAACTTTATATTCAACACTGCTTTGAAGTGCCATCTTACCTCCATCTTTTGGCTTAGCAGGAAGAGTTTCTGAGAAATAGAGAGAACATAGTATACATAAATAAAAGTAATGTGCAAAATAATTTATAGTTACAATAGTGGAATATTTGATTTATATTTATGAACATACAAGGTCCTCACCATTAGTAGTTTCGGTCTTTGGGGTAACTGTCCAGTTTGGGGCACTTGTTTGACCTGAAAAAACAAAAACAAACACTGAAATTAAATCTACGTATAGCTTTGTGTTTACAATTTCCTGAGACAAGATATATCTTACATTGATTATCATATAATAATATTTATCTACCTTGAAGTTGCAGTAAAACAATACGCTGTGTTTTTTGCGGGAGTTTAAAATCATCTGTATGTTGTGTGTAGCATGTGTAGTTCTTCTTGAGATCTTCAGTGGACACGTTTGATAGATGAAGAGACACGGTGCAAAAGCTGCTTTTCATCCCGTGGCAGCCAGAGTTGTCTGATGCTTTACTCCAACAGCCACGAACAAATCCAAGAGAGCAGTTGTAGGTGCAGTTTAATGTTAGAGAGTCCCCTAACGCTACAGTCAAGATGTCAACAGGTATCTTCATATTAACACAGCTCACAAAATCTGCAAAGAGAGGACATTTTATCTACTACTAAAAAAAAACATTATATTATAATTATTATTATAATTATACCAAACAACAAGCGTAATTTTATAGATGAGTGCATTATTGAAAAATGTACATTTATTTAACAAACCTAATTGGTAAAGTGCAGTCCAATAACAAAGAGTATATTTACTTTACCTTGTGTCACCCAAAAAAACAGCAAAGTGAGGTGGACGGAGATCATCATTGTTCCTCGTTTTTATGATTCCTGCTTCCTTAAAACATACAATCAAATATATGGTGCTCTTGTAGTCTGTTGATGCTTGCACCTGCAGTAGAATGCTGAAATACCCAACCATAAGCCCCAACCTGTGGGTAAGGAAACAGGAAGTGGTATGCAACAGGATTCAGAGCTGTGTAAAAATAATTCATAACTTTCCATTTATTGCACCTGACTTCCTGCAAAACAAGTTTCTGTTGAAAATTGGACTAAAGCATATTCTCAAACCTGATTATACATAAAGTACACTCTAACAATAAACAAAAAGTCCACAATGCATTAGTTTTGCAAAGCATATGTTTTACACTGGCTTAAAAAAAGATACAATACATGACAATGTGGTTTACACCAATCTGCAGATGCACCATTGCAGCTCGCTTTCTGCTCATACAGAGGGTGTTCATTTTCCACTATAATCCTTTTTATTCCTCACCTTGTGAAGTCAAAAGGAGTCTTAAGTGACAGAGCCCTCCACGTTAACCTCAGGATTAATTTAACTGATTCCATAAATCCATTGGATTTTTCATATCCTTCCCATTTTTTATTCTCTTTATAACCTATAAATGAATTACACAGGTACCATTTATTATTGAAGTGATCCACTAACAGAGACATTATCTAGGTTAGCTTTAGCACATACTCATACATTATGAAAGTGGAAGGTACAGTTACAGAACATCATTGCACACCATTATCAGCTAGAGCAATCACATGGGAATCACATTTCGTGCTCATGTTTCACTTTCAGTGACTGAAGGCCTCTCACTTTCATGCCTTTAAACAATCAGCCATGTAGGCTCAGACCAAACAGCTTTAAATGAAAATACACAAAAACCATAGTGTGGACTTGATTAGAGATTCAGAGATAATGTGCTCAAAGAAAGTAATCCGTCTGTTCTGGTTTTCAGCTACATGGATTTTTCTGCTGCTGACACAATCTGGACTCACCTCAGGTAAGAGCAATGACTGTTAAATTTGTATCATTTTGTTACAATATATTTCACAGTTACAGATAATTTAAGAAGAAAAAAACCCACCATGACTAGAGAGTCCAAGCTTTTGACTAATTACACCCTGTCATTAATGTATGTATGTAAGAATCATCTGAAGGGAGTGCAGACCTCCCCCTCGAAGAGAGTGAAGAGACAGACATTGATCAGTGTCCAGAGGGAAAATACTTCTCCCACCAGCTTTGTTTAGAGTGTCCCTCCGGTCATTTGTAAGTCATCAACCATCTTTGAAATTACTGACCTGTATACTTTTACTATGTACTAAATCCATAGATGACAACTTAAATATAATAATATTTGCTCCTTTAAAGATTTTGAAATAAAAAAAGAAAGATGTTTAATCACTACTTGTGAGATATTTTATTATCTGTAATACAGATAATAAAGTAATATATTTCTTCTGTATAGTTGTCCTGGAAATGTATCTGCACCTCAGAGATGTCCAGCAGGAACATTTAACCTCTACACAGGGAAAAGCAGTATCAGTGTCTGCAAGGTACGAGGCAGCTGTGGCTAAAACCCCAATAATTGTACATTGCAGGTTTTTTTTTCTGCCATTGAAGCTAAAGAAATTGCATATATATTCTTTCTAGCAATGAATCATATTTAAAGATCTTTTTCATCACAAACATTTTGACATGTCAACGTA